CAGCCTTTGCTTCTCCAGATTGAGAAGTAACAGGTGCAATGGCTTGGGCATGCGTTGCGAATGGCTCCAGAAAGGAAGGCTAAGCAACTTTTCCTTGCAAATCCGACCGGCAGGAGGCCCAGGGGACGGCCAAGATTAACCTGGCGCAAATATATGGGAGGAGTCTGTTCCTGACTGCATCTGTCTTTTGCCGAAGCTCAGACTCTGGCACAGGATGATCAGGAACGTTGGAAGCACTGTCTGATGCGTCTGCCTCTGCGAATCGAAAAGAGAAGCAGCGATGGAAGATGAAGGTGATGAAGATGGATCTACGGTGATCAGGCATTGTTCCAACCGCTACTCAGGGACGATGCTACGAGCAGCTAATCAGGTGAATTCAACTAAGCAAACTGGCACAAATGAGCTCCTGAGAAAATGGTAATGGCAACAAAATCGCTTCAATAAAAATTTTGTTCAATGATACTCGTTTCTTATGCGATAACATAGTAGGGGGGGGTCACTCGATTAAATCATGTCCTCGTCCCAACTCGAGCTCAAACCAACCGGAAGACTTCGTCGCTCGCTTATTTGTCGAGTCTTCAGCGTTGAAGTAAATCTCCTATCACTTAGCTGCTTACTGTAAAGCATCTGTTACTCCTTTGTCTGTTACCGTACACATCGACTTGCCTGATTAGCCTTTATTCTTTTTGTTTGTCGAGAGAGCTGCTTTAAACTAAAGCAGTTCTTAACATAAACGAATAAACAATTAGAATTATTCTAGAAATTTATAATCAGCCCTAGCACGTAGAGTTCACAAAGTTATAGTCTAGCCACGGTTGTCATTAAGCCGCTGTATTTGAGTTCCAGTAGTTGTATGACAGTGATCGATTAAGCTCTTCGGAAGCTTGTTATTGGCCTCGTATGTTTCGAACAGGCACGTCTGTCTGTTGTACGTACCCTGTCTGAAGGTAGTTATACATCTTCAGATGCCGTCTCCGTGACACGCAACATCGCTGGTATAAACACCGCCTGACAGGAGGCACGGAGGAATTTGGATGCACGAATGCCATTAGCTTGTTCATGCAAATTATCGGTAAACAACCAAACAGAAGCAGAAGTCTCCAAGGAAAGGCCAAAATGCACTCTACTCCAAGTTCTGTATGTCTTCGGCGGATGCTCAGGCACTGACGAAAGATCATGAGAGGCAATAACAGTACAACCGACCTTGGCTTGCGAGAAAGTTGGGAGACGTGGCGTGAAGCTTTAATTACAAACAAATATATAAAAGACCAACACCTGTCAACGCTGTATGCAACTCTACGAATGACCCTCTAATAGCGTTATGTTTTCTTTGTTTCGCCTCGAGGACCAGTCCGCGTTGACCGACTTGCCGTAACGCAGTTCCGGTTCTACGTATTGCTGAAAGGTGCATTTAGTGGTTCCCGCAGGGGTCT